AAAATGAAGAACGGAGGGCACACAACACCAAGGCAATGAAAACGACGAAGGAAAAGAGAAAATCAGTAAAAAAATACAAGGCAATAACATTGCAATGCTTGAAAAGCGAAACGAACCACTTTTTTTCTCTGCTGATTTTCATCAAAATACAAACACACAACCGAATAATAATATCACTAAGCTGTATTAGAGTGGTACACGAAATTTGTTTTACATTTTTTGTGCTTTTTAACAGTTCACGTAAAATATGACAAAACGTTCGATTTTTTCACAAACTTTTCGGTAAATGTGATTGAATTTCGAAGCAAAATCGTTAAAATTCTGGTAAATCTATATGCAACCTATATGGTATTGAAAGAAAAAAACATTTTTTCGTCCAAGAACATTAATCGTAGTCGTTTAGTCGTGTATTAAATTTTTCTTGCAAAAGAAAATCAATATTGATTATGTTATAATTCATTCAAAAAAAACGTGAAAAGTTGGGGTCACTATAATATGAAGTTTTTTGTATTTCTCTTCTTCATTGGTTTCGTCGCGTACGCTTTTTTTTCTTTCTTCATTTCAATGTCTTTCAAATACTATAAGTGTATGTCTGTTGTAATTTGTGTGTATGTATTGTGCACATTGCTAATGGCACTTGTAATGGAACGTGTCAATCGAAATGAGCATACAAAGAGCAAAACCAGTTCGAATGCCGTCAAAACCGATCGAATTGACGATAATACTGTGAGAAAGCTTTCCATATATACTGTTGAATTCAAATCGATTGAATGTGGTACAGTGTCAGACACCAGAAATAAAAGTAAAGTGCAAAACAAAAAGAACCACAAAATCCAGGAAAAATGTAATATTTTTCGGTTCGCACATTTTAGCTAATGACATTCAGTTGGAATTTTTGTCATGGACACCACCGGGGCCGGTCACAATGAAGTGAATCTTTTACTTCTTCTTTGTTTTGTTTGTTCATATGTTTGTGGATATTTATTCCTCTTTTCCTGTCCTTCTGCTTGTAATATGCTGCGGTTGTTTCAAGTGTCATTTTACCGGACCTGATATTGAGTCACCGAAAACAAATAAATCCAATACATGTCGAACGTTTGTGTGGTTCGTTGTCATTTTCTCTTTATTCCAATAAAAAGTATGAACTTCTAATTCGATCTTCCAACGATCCATTGGAACTGCATAAAACGAAAAAAAGAATCGACGGATGAACAAAAAAACGTTTATTTACGAAATTTATCCAGTAGCATAGAAATCACGTTAAATGCTTCAAAATCACAATATAACGCGTTGACACAATTCAGTTTAGCACGCTCAATGGAATCGAATCATGAATTTATATATTTGAATGTACAGACATTTTCTATCTCTTCAATTTCATCTTCTGCGCATCAAAAAAAAAGTTGAAATAGAAATCAAAATGCACATTATGCGGGCATGTTCATGTGCCAAAAATTCAATGAAAAAAAAAACCCATCGGAAAGCTCATTTTTCATGAAGATTACATATATATCAAACAAATGCAGATGATGATAAATTATTTTAACTGTCAAAGAAAATCACTCAAAACTTTGTAACCGGCGCAATAAATCCGCCGCAACCTATTCATGTCTCAAGGAGATTTTTAATATTCACTTTATCTCATTCTTATTCGAATGAGCGCATCTATACTTTGTGCTTGTTTCTTCTCACTCTGACTTGTACTGCGTCGCTTTTGTTGTTGTGGTTGGCTGTTTTTTATCATTTCGAACCAGACTGAGACAGAGTGTGTCATTGAATTGGATTCGTTGTCCGTTGCAATTATGCAATATTAAAAGCTCACATCATAAATCATATTTTTTGTGTGCGTGCGATGCGTATATGATTGATACAGCAAAGTTTTTCTAATGCTGTGAAATTGAATTTTGAACATGTCGGACTAGATCGAAAAATGAGCACACACACACACACACTTCAATCATTGATAATTAAAAAGAAGATAAACGATGCTCTCGTTCTCATTCAAAATTCATTTAACGCTCCATTTGTTCTTATTTTTATATTCAACATTTATGCGGCTTATTACTCTTGTGTGTATGTTTTTTTTTGGTTTATCATTGAAAACTTGCTGTGTTTCGTGTAAAAATGTTTGGCGGTCTGCTTTTTATTATTTTTTTTTCTTCTTACTTTTTCAATCAAACGGATGGTGCTCATTCCTGTTATTTGTCTGCGTTCATTGGGGAGATGATGTTTTTTTTATCATCGTTTTCTTTATTTCTTCATGCTCTCGATTTATGGCATGAGGTTGTAAATAAATTATGGAAATATCATCCTTCAATTTATTTACCATAGATATTTACATTCCATTACACATTGAAAATGTGTATTCATTCATTCTCTGGCAACAGTCACAGAGACCAAGAAACAACAAATCAAATCGAAATTTTCGATAATTTTTGGCGTACCAAATCGGTGGTATGTAACATTGAAATTTGTATATTGTTAACGAGCGATTTTTTTCTTCACATTTTCATTTTATTAGTTTCGAATTATTTTATTGAGTTAACATTCCTCCAGCGACAATGCATACGAATAACAATATTTCATGTATGAATTTGTGTCAAATACAATATATTGATGTACACATATACAGTATCGGTGTTTGCATGACTTTTAACTTTGTATTCGGTTGAATACCACGAACGAAGTTTGTGAATAAAATGATGAGTTACAACTGTTAACACATATAAATATGATTGAGTGATTTTTCGTTTCTTGCCCCTCCCTACATTCGATAATTTTGTATGCGCATTGAATGTAAAATGTCTATATTTTTCTTGCTTAAATGGCCGCAAAATTGAATGCATTTTATTTTCTAAGTCTCATCATCGCGATAACTGTCATTCACTCATTGAACGAAACGTGAATGATAAAAAGAGAGAATATTCAGCAGCAAATACACTTGCCGCAGGTTATACGCGTATGTGCCGAAATCAGCGTACAAAATTCTATTCGTATCAGCATGTGATATAATCAAAACTTTATAACTTTATTTCTTCATGTCGATGTTCGTTTTGCTCGGCCTAAGATCACGGTGGCAATAATGATGGGGGCAAATGCGACATTATCTACAACATGAGATGAATAATAAATATTTTATTTTTGGGTTTGTACGGTTTTGTAAAAAAAAACTGTCTATTTTCTAAGCATTTTATACAGAGTCTTTGTATATGATGTGCCGTGATTCGGAAGGGGGTGCTGCTGTACCACAATGTGATTACTTGGTACATGTTTTTGTTTTTTGTATCCTTGTCGGCAATGCGAAAAACGGCACGAGACCAACTGGAACGTAGATGCAAACAATAATCTAATGAAAAATAATTTTAAATTAATTTTCTTATGTTTTATGCTTGTCGAATGCTTTTCTTCGCATTTTTTCAACTATGTGTAATTGACATGGAGCACAAAGTTAGGAATCGATGTGAATTATGCGGGAATATTCAAAGGTTATGGTGTTTTTCTTCCATTAACATCTCTGTCATTACCGATCACGAAGTGATCGAAGTGTTCAACATTAATAAACAGTAAAATCAAACAAAAGCTCTCCATCTACAGCTGCTTATCTTTCAAGCAGTCATGTTTTCTGGTGAACAACAACGACCGCATAAAATGGCATGCTGTAGGCGATAAATTTGAATTTATCCACCAAATTGAACGAATGATGATTACGAATTCATCGCAATTTTTCATTCGATTGTTTTCGTTCTCATCGTATTTCGATTTTGTGTGTTATATTCCATTTTGAGCACCGCAAAACATTCAGATAAATTTTGAAATATTTATGACGTCTAAGAGCATTATTTGAACATGCGATTTGAATTAGATATATCCGTAAACGGATCATGGCGATTGGGTTGAGTATTGTATTAGTCCATTCATTCATCCTGTTTATCATACGCTCATGTATATTTAAGCAATGTTCGAATTTGTCTTGAGAACGGGACTAATGCTCTTCATCATTTCGATTTGACCTCATGCTGACGAGCTCGTGTGTGTGTATATTTTATTACTTCAATAAGACCGCAATGAAATTGATTATTTTGCTGAAAAATGCACATATTTTTGAACGAGCCAATTCACAATATTTATTGGCATTGATTGACGTGCGCGCACACACAAGCGACAAGCCACATTGATTGCCATATTGATTTGAGTATCAAAGTATTCAAAGTGCTGAAACTGTGATTTCTTTGCGAGGCCGATGTAACATACGCCGTACATATACATATTACTACGTTTCTCAATACGCTTTTTTTCTTTTTCCCGTTCGAGATCTTGTGGCAACCGATAAAACTTGAAATAGAGGAATTATCCAATCAATAATCGACAATAAACCAAGTCGTGCGTACGCGTTCATAAATTATATGGAAGCACTCGCTGGAATTGAACTTACGTAATCGATGCAAAAACTTTTTTCTTCTCAATCTCTCGCTCCTTCTTTTCGACGTTATTTTTCGCTGAAGTGATATTCTATATTTCAAAAAAAAAAAAAAAAATCTCAACAGGCTGATTGAAGCAACTTGTTGCCATCATCATTGTCGCACTCAAAATGTACTACATAAATCTTGGCTAAAAGCACATTAGCTTTCTTTTTGTTATTTTCAACATTTTATTTAAGATTTGGCGAATGAAATTGCGTGGCACATATTATGGACACATTTTCACAACGGACAATGACAGCATGAACATTTATTTCATTATCAGCTTTAATTCTATAAATTTCAAAGTATTTAACAAGGAAACATTAGTTCACTAGGTTGAATTTTTCCGTTTCTGACGACGATGAAAAAAAATGTCAACATTGTAATATTGTGAAGATAAAATAAAAAAAGCACACATTCAAAACAACATTAGAATGAAGAGATTTTCGTAGCATTTTTACATTAATTTTTTCTGTCACTTTTCTCACTCTCCCCTTCTCACTCACTCATACTCTCTTTCTGTGTTTTTTCTCGTTTCAGGAAAAAGGCCGATCTTAGCATGGAAGGACAGTTTCTAATCAGACAAATTTACGACGATGAAATTACGTATAATTTGATTGGAGCAGCTGTGGAAATTTTAAGTAAGTCAATGTTGAACAATAAATTTACTGCATGTCACTTTGAATTGTCAGTGAATTTCAACAGAATCGGATGGAGGAGAATGAATAAAAAAGAAAAGAAAACTCACTCTACTTGGTTATGCTTCCTTGCTAGTCGTCCCCCCATATTTCAAATGATGTAGCAACGATAAGACGATGCGCACAATGAATGCCAGTGTATGTATATTTGATGGGGGAAAAATATCAAAAGACGTGAACGACATATCTCAAGCCATTTACGTATACGAACAACGGATCTTTGATTGAAAGATTTAATTAATAATTTAGTGAGATGTGGCGTCGATTCGATGCATACACAAAACACAAGAATGAGTAAATTGCAAGTCATGGTAATTTCTGGAAAAAGCTCAATATATTTTGCTTCGAAAAGCACATTTGCATGCATTGGAAAATAATCGCAATTTTCCGTCATTATATTCGTCATCGGATGTGCAGTCGTTTCACACTCATGAGAAAAAATGCAAAAAAAAAGAAAAATAATAAGAAGAAGACGCTTATTGATTCAACATGCAAAGAAATAATTATGATCTATAATTAACCGGTTACTTTGCCGAGCGAGCGAGTGAACGGGCGAACAAATGCAAAATCCAGCACTCAACGAATATAGAATTTGTTCACTTAAAATTTTACTGCACGGAAATAGTTTGCATAGCATTTTCATGAAATAAATGAAACTGTCGGATCTCTGATGGGATAAAATATGCAGTGTCTTACCTTAAGTTTTAATGACATATTAACGAGCAGATGCTTGTGAATGATGTGAATAAAATTGACTGTAATGAATGCAACTAGAAATTGTGTATTTCAACAATTCAGTAAATTATAGAAAGCGAAAATGACACAATGACACATGCAGAGAGTAATATGTGTTGTCTGTATGAGCATCATTGAATTTTCCACCTGAAAATGTCGAATCGATGCCCCAAACGAAATTCAAACAATAACGGCAAATCTATTCGAAAAATGACAAAAATAAGACAGACACATGAAATCGCCCTATTTTTTTTTTGTTTGAATATGATTCACACTAAAGGCACATGGAAAATGCATAACTCAATCGAAGTGAATCGATTGTGAGTCCTTTAAAGCCATGCTCAACTCATGCATGTATAATTGTATATATAATATATGCCACATACTCCACACTTTTCAAGTCATTCGCCTTCGCCTTAGTCGTCTCATCGTTATCGTCGTCGTCTTCGTTCATCGTTTCACAGCATTTTGCAAATATCGTTTCTTTTGTCGTTAACTGTGTTCTTATATTCGGTTTATTTTTCATCTCTCGACTCTCGCCATTGTTATTTATGAAAAGCATTTACAAGGCAATGAAGAAAAGTACACGACAAAGAATAGGAGCATATTCAAAACAGAAAAGACGAACGACACGATGAACGAACGAAGCGAATCGACCTAAGAAAAGAGCATTTTCCTATTTGGGACTTTATATGTTAATTTTTCTTTTCTCCTCCTTTTTCTCTATCTTATGCGCTCTTAAAAAGTTTTACAATGCTTATTTTACTCAGTTATCGCATTCAGATTTCTCTCATACCAATATGCATACAACTACACTCTCGCTATGCGAGTGTGCTATTGAAAAGGAAAAAATATCGACACTTCGTCTCGATTCGACTGAGAGAGTGGATTTGTGTGTGTCTGTGTTTGTGTGACACTTTTGCGTCGATCGGTAAGTGATACTGCTTTGGAAGAGCTTCGGGTGGGTTTTATTGATGTTTTTACTTTTGTTCTTAAAGATTTAATTGATGTGCAACTTTATTGCCATTCATTTGGTATCGCGCAATACGAATTCATCAGAAGCGTTTTTTTTTTATGAAATTCTTGGCAAACTCCATGTTCTACAACCATAAATTCATGTTCGTTCATTTGTTCGTTGAAATGCAAAAACGAACAAAATGTAATTGAAGTTTAAGTTTTTATTTCATTACATCTTTGACCTTCATGCATTATTTAAATACGTTTTGAGTCGTTTTGTTGCTGGCAACACACAATACCATTTTTAATTGTTACTAATGAAGTGTCAGACCATCAATGAGGAAGATAGAGAAAAATTCCAAATTACCAAAGCATTTATGCAAATGTTCATCGTATACACAATGGAAAAAGATTTTGCATCTATTTCATGCTTAAATTGTTATTTATAAGCATGTTTTGCAATCGATCATTTCACCTAATAGTACACGGAAGTATGCCATTAATGTGACAAATCCCATCGTTAATTCAACGTTGCTGTTCTTTTCAAATCTCCCCCTTTTCAACTGTCCTTGATTGGCTCCATGTTTCATAGACTCCCCTTCTACGTATCACCACCCAAATTGTTTCCACTCAAAACCCAATGGAAATGGTCACAAATAAATGTATGAAAAGCAATTCACTCACATGATTGCGACGCCGATGAAAAGGCGTGAAATATTATTTACTATTTTTTTTCTGTAATCGCAATTTTATATCAATATTGAAAACAAAACAAAAAATTAAAGAGACGAGAAAATAAATGTGATATGGCGGCGGCAAGCAAACCAAGTCGACCAGCCAAAAAGAGAAACGAACGAAATAGAAAGAAACAATGAATAATAGCCGAACATTGTCGCCATCACAATTTTCTTTTTGTTTGATTCTTATTGTGAATGGTGAATTATACCATTTACACACATATAAACAAATTTTCAACACATACATCTATCTTCTTGCTTTAACTTTTGGCATTTTGTTCAATTCTATTTAACTTATTTGTCTCACATTCAGTATTGTCACGCATTTGGTGAGTCTCATTTATTCTATTAGTTAATATTAAATTGAATGGAGACAGTTTCAGCACTACCAACTCTACCGACGATATTTTTATGTATGTATGTTTTCGATGTGCACGCAGAGTGTGTCTGACGATGATATTGTCACAATTTATATGATGCAAACATTTCGCGAAGATGCTCTGAATTTTGAACTATGGCCGAAAACAATATAGACCAAATTTCGATGACAATTTAACTGACGTTCGTGTCCAACATCTTCATTGAGTAACTCTGCGCACGAATATTTTGAGGTGATGCACATCACCGGCAACCGAAAAACTTCAAATCAAATAAGCAATAAACTTTGGTCCGTCTCACAATTTAGCTTTGAACGTATTACAGAACGGTAAAATGTCATTTATCACAAGTTAATCAGTGGCATCATGCACCAGTGTTTTATCTTCATTTCGACTAGTCGCACCGTTGCTCGTGCACCGCATTTCGCTAAGTCAATGAGGCTATGTAACACAACATTTTCTACGAGTTAAATATAATAAATACTCGCCTCTAACAGGTTTTGTCTATTGGCCATAGCATTTTGGCTAATATATGTGAATTTGCAATATTTCGCGTTTCTATTAGTCGGTCTGTAGGTCGATATAGATTAATTCGTAACAACTCCAATACTCTCGCACATGTGTTCAAATTTGCTGGCTGGTTATAAATCAAGTAGCAAAAAAAATAATAATTCAACGAACAGTTTGCCAAAGCTAATAAATACATTTTTCCACCAATGTTTCGATCATGTTTTTGTTCAACATTGGGATTTGCTTTTCATCCATTTCGGACAACTTCGTTTATTTGATTGCACTCAATTCCATCCTTTTGCTTTCTGCTTTTTTCTATTGTTTTAGCTTTTGCTATTCAATTCGTGCACACCGAACAATTTGCATCTTCTTTGGTGCTCATGACATCAATTTCGAAATCACATACGTTTGTTTTATGTAAATCAAACAGCAAACAATAAGTACACAAGTGAAAAAAAAATAATGAAAGAAAAATAGCATATGCTATTCAATTTTGAAGTGTGTATGTGTCTGTGTGTGTTTATCAGCCTTTAAATATTGTTTTTCTGTGCTGATGATCCTGTTTGGTTGAGTGAATAACATCAATAATGCACATTGTTTTTCAATTACAATTGTTGTTGCTGGTGCGCTTGTGTGTTTTTTTCTTGCACGTGAGATTTATTGGATAAAAAAAATGGTAGTAAAGAGAGCATGTGAAGAGCATATCAAAAACAGCAAGTTTTCGTAATGGCAATATATTCCAGTTTCCGCGTCATTTCAGCCCAACATTTTGTAATCGAACAAATAATAAAAGTTTATTTCAACCAGTTATATATTTGGTTCGGTTCAGTTGCACGGTGTAACGATGCAGGTACCATCCATTCTCAAATGAAAATTCGATAGCAGCTTTTGAACATAGCCACACATGAACATGATTGCAAATAAATGAAAAAAGAAGAAGAAGAAAGCGAGGGACAGAGAAAGAGAAAAGTATATTTATCGGGAATTGAATTTCATTTTTCTTCATTGTTCTTTCGATCCTTGTTCGATATTTTGGGTTTTATTATATCAGATGGAGACAATGTGAATTGCTGTTTTTACGTCATCATAGTAGCCTAGTGAAATCTATCTACTGCAAGTACAATTTAACCGAAAACTAAAAATGATTTTTATTTTTTCACCGATTAATGTTTTTGTTCTGTTTTCGATTTCGTGCACTGTCATGTCATGCTCCACTATTTAATTCTTTTTTTTGCCGTCTTTTTATACTTATATTAGTATTGCATCCATCATTCAATATTGATTTGATTTTTTTCCTCTACAAAACAAAATATAGCAAACAAAATAATTTTCACTCTGAACGATTTTTAAATTTTGACTGAACATACATCGTGGTCGTGATTCACAATTCAATTTCAAACACGACATATCGCACGACACCAGCACAAAATAGCATTCAATTCCATTAAATTTGATTCCGTTGGATGTGAATTCCATCGTGCCGAACAATCAAAATACAGTTGACAGAAAGGAAATATCAATGAGAAAGCTAATTCTTTATCATAACAAGGTGCACTATGAGTACAAATATATTTCAAAGAAGTTATTTTCTTGGTAAAGAATGACGAACTACTTTCTATAAATGGTA